CGGTTTGATCTTCGGCTGACCAATCAGCAGAAAGGGACGTTTAATTCCCACCCACATGTCGAAATCGAATATATATCTGCAAAATAATAGTCCTCCTCTGCTGTACAGATTCTTAACACGTTTATTGCAACTACATTTCATCTTTTTTCATCAAACAACCCAACTACTTGAATTAAAAAATAATGATGCAGAACTCCAATTCAAAGGAAAGTGCACAAATAAAATCAATTGAAATTTAAAGAAATTCATATGAATGTACTTTTAACTGTAAAAACAAACTTTGAATGTTGACTTGTAAAAGCATTGTTTGAAATTTTTGAAAAAAAAGAAAATGCCTTGAAAACTGAACGTTTATAGTCCAGGTAGATAGAAACAGTTATCGGTTCTAATTGTCGTAAAATCACCTTTACATAAGGACAAAACACATTAATATTTAATTTGCTTAAGATGGCTTCTCTACATTCAAATGACATGAGTCATGCTTGAAAGAAGTACAGTGTTGTTTTCCTCCTGTTTTTGTTCTCCCATTCTGTCCATAGTGACTTTAAGGGAAATTTCTGGAACTAGACAACACAGCAACTTTTCAAAGCTGTAAGCTGCTCTCTCTGTTCAGCTAGTCCACTCATTGGTCCCAGTGACCTGAAGGCTTGACCGTATGACCCAGTGGTCATCCCAACAGCCATCTGCCACCATGGTGCAAGGCTTACCTTGTCCACACTGTCATGCAACTTCAAACTAATGTGAGCAAAGCCAAAGAAATTTACACTTAGTTTTATTCATTTATGAGAAAGAAAGAAATTCTTGCGCTCTTGTTTTCCTCATTTACGTGACCTGACAGATTCAGTGCAAGCCTTGTGTTCTCCAGAAGGGGGCATGCCGCAGACAGATGGACTGGTAAGCCAGCAGGCCCGGGGCAGCTCCTTTTACCAAGACGGATTTGTTAACACTGTTTGGGTCGATCAGGCCCCGGGCTGAAATGACCTAATCTGTCATTAAACTCCTGTTACACTATGAGCAAGGCACAGTTCAGTGCCCCCTAAAGACTCTGCTGGAGGAAAGACGAGACACAATCTTCTGACTCTGTGAAGTAGGCCGTCATGAAAACAGCAGACACTAATAAATCCCAACATGGCACAGTTAGATGCCTGCGCTGCAAAAACAAGTGCTTCATATGTGATTCTTTTTGAGGTGGATTCAGTTACAGTACTTTGGACAAAAGACTCAGCACACAGAACAGTTTGATTTGATTTTTCAGGTCTTTCTGTCTGTTATCATCAGATTAGCAGCGAGTGTCCATCATGCTTGCAGATTGCGAAACGATAGATATAGTTGCATCTGTTTGTTGTAGCAACATATCCTCTGATCTAACTTTATCTGCCCCGTGAACACTATTTCCTTGTGCTTTTATCTACCAACACTTTACAGGTTATCTCATTTGGTTATGGACATCTGATGCTGCATCTCTTTTGTTTTGAGGAAGGTAATAGATGACTATCTGTCTGTTATCTACACTAAATGTCTATGGATATCATGGTTTCACTATGTCTCATATCCCGTTATCTCATATCAATTATGGTCATTCAGAAAAAAGGAACTTAAATATACACTTCCATTCAGAAGTTTAGAGTCGATAGGATTTTTAAAAAAAAATGCTTTTGAAAGAAGTTTCTTATGCTCACCAAGGCTACATTTATTGAAACAAAATATGAAAAACAATAATATTATGAAATATTATTGCAATTTATAATAACTGTAACATTTAATAATTCATTTAATTATAATAATTTAATAATTTATGCATTTAGCAGATGCTTTTATCCAAAGTGACTTACAGTGCATTCAGGCTATACATTTTTTACCAGTATGTAACATTTAAAGGTTTAGTTCACTTCTGAATGAAAATTTCCTCATAATTTCCTCACCCCCATGTCATCCAAGATGTTCATGTCTTTCTTTCTTTAGTCGAACAGAAATTAAGGTTTTTGAGAAAAACATTCCAGGGTTTTTCTCTATATAGTGGACTTCAGTGGGGTTGAAGTTCAAATTGTCCAAATAGCAGCTTCAGTGCAGCTTCAAGGTGTTCTACACGATCCCAGACGAGGAAGAAGGGTCTTATCTAGTGAGGAAATGAGATGGGAGTTTTTTGACCTACCCTAACTGTTTCGAATGGGACTGTACAGAGTACGCATGCGCATTGCAGAGCTACACAAGACAAGCATTTGAGGTTAAAGGGGTCATATGATGTTGCTAAAAAGAACATTATTTTGTTTATTTGGTGTAATGAAATGGTTATGCGGTTTAAGGTTCAAAAAACCCATTATTTTCCACATACGTTTCATTAT